GGCGATGGAGATTGGGCGGTTGAGCGCCGTGATCGCGATCGGAGTCTTTGCTCTTGTTCTCTCTTTGAGATTTGGGGCTTGTGAAGCGAATCGGGGTCCGGGTAACTTTATATTAGGTCGGTGAGATTTTGTTTTTGGGAGTTTCTAGTGTTGATTATGTTGTTGTTTGTTGAGGATTGGAGGTTTGATATTTGATTAATTCTTGCTTTAAGGTTGAATCAAAGTTGAAGTTTTCTTGTTTGTTTTCTTTAGAAGGGGTTAATGGGTTCGGACTTTGGAAAAAGATCCTTCTTTGTTTTTGTTATATGATTTTATTTGGTAGGTTAATTAAATGAGAATCTGACTCTCTTTATTAATTAACGTAAAATTCGAAATTTCAATTTTTTGAAAGTTAAATGCTAAATGAGATAATGAGAATTTTGCGCTAGTGCTTCTCCTACAAGAGAAGTTTTTGGTTATGGATTTCTTCTTCTTTGCGGAAATAGTTATGGGGAATTTTGGCAATTTATTTAGTTATTTATTTCTTTTCTGGGAATCTTTTAATAATATAGCTAGATTATTATTTTACAACTCTTTTTTATGCTGAAATTCTGTTTCCTTTTCTAAAATTTTTCCATTTTCTTTTCTTTATTCGGTATGTTAGTAAATGAAAGACCTTTGTTCTTTTTATTTATTGTGATGAAATTTGTATTTTCATTTTTTTGGAATAAATGTAAGATGAGATAATTTGACACTATTGCTTCTTCTACAATATCATTTTGAGAATCTTTTAATAATTTAGTATAAATTATTGTGTTGGAGTTCATTTTATAAGCTGAAATCCTGTTCCTTTTTGTTGATGTACAAATGAAGATGCGCAAAATTTTCCAACTTTAGAGGATGGATTACTGAAGTTTGCTCCAGTGGCGTCAGGGCCTGTTGCTATGGCTCCTGATTCAAAGTCTCCTCTGATTTTAGCAGCAAAAAGAACAAGGAGGCCTGATGTTCTTAATAAGTTCAAGATTTATGGTGGAGGCTGGGATATCACCAATAAGCATTACTGGGCGGTGAGCTTTTAGAAATCGACCAGTGTTATTTTTTACTTTAAACCTATTCTTTCATCCTGATTTATCTTTAAACTCACACACTTTTAAAACCATTCATACCCAGAACATCCATCCTGATTTAATTTTAAAAAGAAAATCTGTTTTGATCTGCTATAAAGTATGGTAAACTGGTATGTGTTGATCTAAACTTCTGTGATATTTGTTAAACTATTATATTATGTGTCAAAGTTATACAATAAAGAGATCAAATACTCTGGTTGAGTGTTTTGGGTGTATGTATGTTTTTGGAAGTGTGCAGGTTAAAAAATAATTCAGGGTAAAAGATCGGGTTTAGAATAAAAAATCCCTTTTAAATTTCACTTTTGTTCATGTATTCGCCTTTCATTATAAAAATTTTCCCTGAGGGACAATACTAATTGTCTTTGAGTCTAATCTAGAAATGGTGGATGGCTTTTGGGCTATTGTCTATTTTTCAAATAGACGGAGTCTTTAGTGAGCCCTTTTTAAATTGTCATCTGTGAGTTCTCCATTCTGGGATTGAGGTTTCGCCTTCTTTATTATACTGAAAAATCAATGCACATAAATCATCCGAACTATTTGTTACAATTTGGAGATGGTTTGTTGTGAGTTTATCTGTCATCTTGGCATGTTTGGGCATAATTTTTTTTCTTTTGATGGTGCAAACCTTTTCATACAAATATGCTCTGTTATATTCCCTTTTAGTAGACTCACTCATTATTTTGAACTCCAGTTCTTATTATTTATTGATCACTTGCTTACCAGTCTGTTGGATTCACTGGAGCTGCTGGATTTATACTTGCAATATTGTGGTTTTTCTCCTTCGGCCTAGCATTAGGCTTCCGCCACTGTTGTAGTTGGCGAATTGGCGTCAAAGACAAAGGCTCATCTCGTACACAATATGCCTGTTTTGTGCTATTACTGGTGTTCACATGCGCTGCCTCGTAATACTCTTTAACCAACTCCTGTTTCTGTTAATTCATTTTTCAATGTAATACAGACATGTTCGTGACAATACCGTTGTGCTTATTTTATAACGTTTCATGGTCCCTGCTAATTTCTTGTCGAAAATTTGTTTAGGTTTAATTTTCTAATTTTTTTTGATAGTATGGTGTTGTACTGTTATTTCTACATCCACTTGTATGTTCTATTAGTAAATTCTGAAAAGACTCAAAGTGCATCTGACGCAGTTTGATGGGACAGGGATGTGGATTCTATTGAATCTTCTAAATGCAGTCAACAAGCATATGGATGAGAATGCAGTCCCATAAACTAACTAAAACAAATCCCTGAACTTGAATGTTCTAGATAAGATTGCTAAAGATAATCCTAAAAGGAATATGCAAACCTATATTTTATGATGAATGAAGTAATGAACATGCAGTAAACGTAGGCAATTGAAAGCAAATTAAGAATCATGTATAAATCTGTGCTGAAAGACATAATTATTTCAAGATTTATTAAGAAAATTAAGATTTTAGTGATGGTTATATCTGATGACGAGAGTTGTTGCTATTTTTCAAACTTTATAAGCTTTAGATTGATAGTTCCTTTGATGAACTCACTACAAATTTACTTTAGGATTAGAGGAAAAAAGAATCTCAATCAAGAAGAGATAGCTTTGGAATTTGGATCGTATTGGATAATCGGATCTTGAATTGAGGAGATTTGGTTGCTGTTCAGAAGGATTTAAGGCTGTCAAAGGGGCTGATTGGGGCTATTCTGGGTTCTGCCAGACTGTGATGGCTAGCAAGTGGTAGGGTGGAAGATAGGATTATTTTGGGTTCGTGATCTCCCAGTTAGATGAGCAACTTGTGCAGCAGGAGCTGTGCTTTTATTCGCTTTTGATATTCTGTTGCATCTTTCCATATCATTTTGCATCCATTCACGAGTCTTTTAATCACAGAAATTTTACAATGTCATAACCACCATCATTTAAGCTACTGCACGTTATGATGTTTCAGAACATGTACTCGTCATTTCAGTCTAAATAAAACTCTAGTATGACATTGTTGTCAGTCGTGGGCAGAAATTATGATCAGTGTATAAGGCATCTCTATAATTTCCTTTTGCTATTCCATTGTGTGTCTTATTACCATATCTTTGCATTTTGAAATGAATGTATGTGGGAAATTAATTGGCTTTTGCTTTTGAAGTTATTTCACCTTCCAACCGTGTGCCATTTTACTTGTGGTTTCTCCAGGACTGGCTGCATTCTTCTCACTGTTGGGCAGGATGATTTCCATGGTGAAGTGCTGGATACCCTAAGCTTTGTTGTCAATCAGTCAGATTTCACTGTTCAGATCCTACGGAATGTTACAGATTTTCTGTCCTTTGCAAAGACAATAAATGTGGAAGAGGTTTACCTTCCATCTGATGTTCAAAATGAAATTGACAAGCTGAACATAGATTTGAATAATGCGGCTAATACCCTATCAGATAAAACAAATGAAAGTTCAGAAAAGATTAGAAGTGTTATTGATACAGTGTATGGCTCTATACCTTGTTATTTTTTGATCTGGCTTTGTTCCGTCATTGCACTAATGGCTTTGTCTACTTATATAGGAGGTGTGTGTTGATTGTGGTAGCAGCAGTGATGCTTATACTTGCAGTAATTGGTTTTGGTATGTATTCTGTGCTCCTTGTGCATTGCCTTACTGCTTATGTTCTCTATTTTTGACCAATTATCTTTCATATTCTGTTTGCAGTACTCGCCGTTCTTGGTTACAAACATGCGATGTACATGTAAGTTGGTGCTCTTGTTAATTATGAGGAATATATAAAATTTAGATCATCTGCTTCATTACCTTCCAAAATATTCTGTGTAATTGTTTTTGTTATTTTTCTGTTTCAGATTCATTATGAGTGGCTGGCTACTTGTGGCAGTTACATTTGCTCTCTGTGGAGGTTTTGTAATCCTCAACAGGTAAGAGCAAATTAAAAGTGGTTGTCTTACGACATTGATGGAAGAAAGTTTTTATACCTTTTAGTATAATGTATGTCGATTGATGATTGTAGCCTGTGCTTTGCATTTTCTGGTTCTTGTTTCTTCGTTATTGGTATTTCTATCCCAACCTTGTATTGGATACACAAAACATATTTTTTTAATGTTTCCTCAATGCAATAAGTTTCATATGTATTCTCATTGTGGAGCCTATTATAATTGCGCTGCCATCATGTGGTTAAAATACCAGTCTAAAAAGGTAGTGGAGAGACGGCATTATACTTTTCAGGCATAATTACGTCATAGTCCAACACATGAAAACCAGGAACGATGATGTGCTCATAATTTTCTATACTAGTTTGAGTTGAAATTGTAGATTACTTTACTAAGGTCCATTTTGATTGTCAGGCCGAAGCCCAAGTGAAGGAATGTGACAAGAATATATATGCTGTGTCTGACCTTTGAACAGTTTCTGAGATTCATCTATTCCAGAGAGCTAAATGGGATAACTTTTCTTTGTTTTAGGCCTGACTTCTTTTTACATCTGAGTTCAGCCTGGATGTCGTTCTTACTTGTACTCCACCGGTGCATGATGGAGGATTGAGCCCATTTCTAAGTCTTGGCCCTTTTCACCATGAATGCATTATGATCTCAGGTTAAAGTAGTAGTACTCATGCCAGATCATGGCATCCAAGGGTTGTAGTTGGTTTTAAAGTAGAACGGACGCATATAGAGGACACCTGCATGACACAGACATGGGCATGAGACATGATAATGCCTGGTAAAGCATGACGGCAAAATGGAATTAAGATATAATAAAAATAATAAAGTTTGTGTATATGCATATGCACACATTTTCATGCACTGAAAAGTCCAAACAATTAGTCATTAAGGACATAATGACTAAGTGCATGACATGTACCCAAGGATTGCCAATGAAAGTGTCATGTCTGACAAAGGTGTTGGCATGTCTGACATGAGCATGACTTTGTAACAGAAGTAGCCATACTATAAGTAGGTTGACTCCAAATCATTGTTTTTAAGTGCGGCCATAAATATACTGAGATGTTTTAGAAAATTCATCTGGACGAAGACATTCGGTGGACTATCTTGTGGCAGGTACCAGATGGGATCCAACCTGGAAGAGCTTCTCTTCTTATATCTGAGAATTCTCTTATTCTGATGGGTCCAACCTACAAAAGCTTTTCTTTCAAAATTTGAGATAGTAGATGGGGATACTAGCTAATATAGCCGCCTTCCATTCCTCCTATTATCATAATCTATCGTAACAATAAATCATATAGATAATAAGTCTTGAACTTCAAAATTCAAATTATATAAACTATGGAAGCTGAACGCCGTAACCACAAAACAAACCAACATCATTCAAAGGATATGCATAAAAACTATTGAGAAACATAATATATATTTTCAATAAAAAATGTTCTACACATGTCCACCAGTCATCTTGCATTTGTCAGTTTCTAGAACACATTAGACAAGCCGCCCCCTCACTTAGCTAATTTCACACTGTATAGGATGCCTAGATTGAAGCGAAATGCTTAGATGTTGCGGTAATCTCTATGTGGAGATTGTTAACATTCATTTGCTGTCATTTGATTCATGTAAAATTTTGGAGTTTTACATATATGCATGTTTAGGACATAGGCAGGTTACATATGAGATCCACCTTGTGAGACTCATGTAACTTTCTTTTTCTACAGTGCTGTAGGTGACACTTGCACTGCCATGGATCAATGGGTGGAATATCCACAGGCAGAAACTGCTCTCAGTAACATCCTCCCATGCGTCGATGAAAAGACTACCAATCGAACACTGTATCAGAGTAAAGATGTGATTCAGCGGCTTGTGAATATTGTCAACATTGTAATCTGGACAACTGCTAATTCAAACAGCCAATCACAATCAAATTCTTATTTCTACAATCAGTCTGGACCCTTGATGCCACCTCTTTGTTCTCCATATGATTCTCATCTGCGTCCCCGGCAATGTGATCCTTATGAAGTATCATTCGGCAATGCATCAATGGTACACATCAGATTTCTCACTGTTTATTAAATGTCATTTCATTTTCATTTAAATTTCATCGCTACACAAATTAAAGATTTGATACACAGTTTGCTTTTGCTAATTGCAACTCTCATTTCTCATTTACTTGAATTTCCTGCCCACCTTTTATCTTTATAGATTTTTGGTTTCTTAGAAAATGCAGCAGTTGTGTTTTAAGCTTTTAGCACTTCCATTTATACTCTCTTTTGTTGAATTCTTGCTTATCGTGTCCTGTTTATTTTTAGGGTGAATTACTGATGTATTGTTGTTTTGAACTTACTACCCCACTAGTTTTATTTTTGCTGGTAAACCCCATGAATGAACTTTTTTTTGGACTCTTTTACCCTCTGGAAGTCTATTTAAAAAAAACATTCTCTTTCTTTGAGGGTAGAAGAGAGAAGAAAAAAAATCACTCTGTCGGTCTTTCTGCAAACTAGAATGAGAGGGATAGTAAATTCAAAACATCGATTCTAAAGGGAGCAATGAACCCTTAATTTCAACTTCTGTGATATTTGATCCCATTTTAAAGTATTTTTCTGTTATCTCTGATAAATGATAACCCAAAAAATATTGCTCAAGTTATGGAACACAAACTGAGTTATAGTACACTGCTGCATGATATATCCATCCCATGCGACATCTTAAAACAAATAAAATATTTTTTTCCTATTGATCTGCTGATTTACGTAAGTTCTGGAACCGAAATTGATTTGTAGTACACGGATGCCTGAGGTATTCATCCCTTCGTCTTCTTAATACAAATAAAAATATATTTTCCCCTATTGATCTGCTTATTTACATTTCCACCATGCTTCAAAATTACCAGGTGTGGCAGAACTATACGTGCGAAGTTTCTGAAGCAGGCTCATGCATAAGTCCGGGGAGGATAACCCCAGATATCTATACTGAACTGGTTGCAGCTGTGAACGTGAGCTATGCACTCGATCATTATGCCCCTCTGCTTCTCAGCCTTCAAGACTGCAACTTTGTTCGAGAGACCTTCAACTCCATCACAACATTCTACTGCCCGAATTTAGAGCACGGGCTTAAGTTGGTGAATCTTGGGTTAGCTTTTATATCCACTGGAGTCATGCTCTGCCTCATCTTGTGGATTGTATATGCAAACCGCCTCCGAAGAAGGGAGGAGGTGTTTGTGACAACTCCATCTGAAGTCAAGGTTTTTGTAGAAAAGAGGTGACTTTTTGCATAATGAGCTATCAAGAGATTGAGTGATGAGATCTATATGCTAGTCTCATGCATGCGTCTTGGCTCTTGACTAGTAACCCCTTATTATTATTATTATTATTATTATTACTTAGTATATATCTATATATAAATATGTAATATATTGTAAATGTTGGAGAGTGATTTATTTTACCTCCATCTTTTCTTTTTCTTTTCTTTTTCAATTTCTTTTAGTATGAGAAGTGCCCAAATGGGGCGAAGCACCATTTGGGGTGATGAGTAATTTATGATGCAGAGCAGTTGTATTCAGGGAACACAAAAGAAATGATCTTAGTGGTGATCAATGTGAATGAAAGAAAAAGAGGCTCAGGCCTGCAGTTTCTCTTTGTTATTTTTGTGTGATTTTTGTGCTCCATTATATCTAATTGCGAGCTATATCTGTAGTCTTGTCTTCATCATGGTTTCTGCTCCTCTTGTGATTGTATGCGGTATTTGAGGCAGAGATTATTGAGGTCCCAGGTTTCATGCATGTATTAATATTAATATATCATACTTTGTACTGTGATTATTATTATTATTATTAAGATAGAAGCAATCTCCATGCAATGGGCTTAAAGGGAATTATTATTATTGGCATGTTTGAATCATAGAAGCAATTGTAGAGAATAATATGTGGTACTCTACTTGCTGTGGAGAACTAGAAAATTGACTTATGTTGCAATGCTTGTAGGACCCAAATAGGACCAGAACACAATGAATAGTAAATACATGGTTTAGGTTTTAATAAATTTTTGCACGTGTAGTCTAGGACATAGGTTAGTGTATAAGGTGGCAAGATTCTCAAAAGAGGGGATTTCATCATTGGATTAGGCCTGAAATTATTTTGTGGCTGCTTTTTCTCTCTATCTTTTTTGGTTTAAATTAAATAGTAGTGGTTAAATTTTGGTTGACCAAGACCCTAATAGCTGATTTCGAGTTCAAGATTCATTATAATCTCTCTCTCTCTCTCTCTCTCTCTCTCTTCTCTCTCTCTCTCTCTCTCTCTCTCTCTCTCTCTCTCTCTCTCTCTCTCTCTCTCTCTCTCTCTCTTCTTTTAGATCTTCAACCAAAAAATGTAGGCATATGTTGTTATAGACGGCTGAGTGAACTAACCATAATCAGCTTTCAGATGCGAAATAAATAATTAGTTTAGAGAATTTCCAGGAGAATGTTACCTCAAAACTTGAGTGATTGCCTCTTCTTTATTGACCAAATAATATCTGGGTCCCATACGTTTGCAAGTTTTCAGTGAGATTACTAAATGCTACTTTGGTCATCAACCTAGTTCTTTTCCAAAAACTTTTGCTAAATCTTGCTAATATGTTTTTCCTTATCTTGGCAATTGCATGTAATTTGATACATCTCTCTCTCTCTCTCTCTCTCTCTCTCTCTCTCTCTCTCTCTCTCTCTCTCTCTCTCTCTCTTCTTTTAGATCTTCAACCAAAAAATGTAGGCATATGTTGTTATAGACGGCTGAGTGAACTAACCATAATCAGCTTTCAGATGCGAAATAAATAATTAGTTTAGAGAATTTCCAGGAGAATGTTACCTCAAAACTTGAGTGATTGCCTCTTCTTTATTGACCAAATAATATCTGGGTCCCATACGTTTGCAAGTTTTCAGTGAGATTACTAAATGCTACTTTGGTCATCAACCTAGTTCTTTTCCAAAAACTTTTGCTAAATCTTGCTAATATGTTTTTCCTTATCTTGGCAATTGCATGTAATTTGATACATCTTTTATCAAAGGAGTTGCTTGGTAGGAAGGTTGTTTGGTTTGCAGCAACTACATATATGCATTTTAACTACTACTACATGAAAACGAAATACTTTTGTTCAGTTGTAAATTGTTTGTTTCACTGCAATTGATAAATGCAATTGCAGCAAAGCCTCCGTTTGTAGTGACTTTAGTAGATCTCGATGTAAGTTATACTTGCAACTTTTCGAGCTGTAAATGGTTTAAAATGCTAATAGAAACCAAAACCTAACAGAAGTTTTGCACAAACGGCTAAATATCAAAGAACCCCTTAACAAGCCCCTTTACGTTTAGAAGTTAATTATCAACAAATCCACTTTAATTTTAAGGTTTTTTAATAGAAAATTGCTATAAAAAGCTGAACGACAAATTTCGTTTGTAAAAATATCCCCTGGGTGATTCACCCAAATATGCTAAAAATTATGGTTAACACTGTTGCGTGAGTTTTCTGATAAAATCTTATAAAAAGTGTTTTCTGATAACCCAAACTTAAAGGGGCTTTTCAGATATTTTGAAATGTTGTTATTGGGGGTCATCCGATAATCGCAGAAGTCAGGGTTTTTTTTATAAAACTCGGTCTTTGAGAAAAACCTCACCTCTCAAAACAAATGCCTACAACTACAACTGCAGCTGCGAACTGCAGGGTTTCAAAACTAAACTAGATGTCTACACTACATGCAATAGTAGTAGGGGTGCTAAACCGTATCCGTATCCGAGAAAATATCCGTAACCGTATCCGTCAGGATATGAATATGGTTACTCAAATCTATAACCGATAGGATATGGTTACAGATATGGTTTTGTAGTGAAATATCAGCACCCGTATCCGAAATATCCGAATACATATTAGTCATACTCTTACGATAGTTTCGATTCTTAGATTATGGATTTGTGATTAATTTTGATGATCAAGATGTCTAATCTTAACTTTTCAATTATAATGGACATATTAACAAACTCTTTTGTATCACATGAACTATGTTTTTCTCAATACTATCTAGTTTTCTCATATCTGTTTTGTATCTGCATGCATATCCGCTTATATATCCGCATGTATATCCGTAACCGTATCCGATTTTAGCGGATATGGTTATAAATTATTCTTACCGAGGTATATCCGTATCCGTATCTGTATCCGAGATGGGTAAACGAATATGGATATGATAAGCATCATATCCGAGCCGTATCCGGACCGAATGCACCCCTAAATAGTAGTTAAGCAAGCAACTGCAGTTACATGCAACTGATGCTTTAAGATTGCAGTTGCCGAGGGCGAAACAAACCCCAAAATGGAGGCTGCAAAATGAGTGAGGAGCCAAGCCATGTTGCGCTCACCCAAATTTGTGTGCGAATGCGGACTGCATTGTTGAAATACCAAAGAGTGCAAGAAACAAGAGAGATATGTCACCTTATCAGAGCAAGGACACTATGATTGCAACTGCTTTTATTTTCCACACCAAGTACCAAATTCTGGTTGACCAAAGTATAACTGATTGATGCTAGCTGCTTAAAACTCATGGATGCAGTTCTTTTCTCATGATATAACTACCTTTCTTCTTCAAGTGGTTGAGAACTAGAATAATCAAAGAAATGGTATGTGTTGATTTGATGTGTTTTAATTTGAGGTTGGTCTAAAAGTATTTTTTTAGGATAAACTACACTAACCAACCATAACTTCCAGCATTTTGCAGTAAACCGTCATGAACTTTCAAAATCACACTAAACCCTAATAACATTTGCAAAGAATCCCCAGTATCCTTTAGATAAATAACAATAAACTCCCAATCACTTTCAAAATGCCTTCTTATGTTTTTTTAATTGTTCTAATTTATGGGGGTTGTCGACAAAAATTAGAAATTTATTGGGAATTTTCTACAAAATAGAAAGGTTATTGGGGGCTTAAGTGTGATTCTGAAAATTCATAGGAGTTTACTGCAAAATGCTAAAAGTTGATAGAGGCTTAGGGCTGTTTGGTTGGTTTCCTAAAAATCAAGAAAAGGAAAAGGGTACATGGAAATCAATAAAATATTATTTTTATCCATTTCCATCCCTAAAACTCACCATAACATCCAATAAAATATTATTTTCATCTCACAACTCATCTCATATCATCTCCTAAAAATAAACCAAACACAAAAAATGAGTCATATCATCCAACTCATCTCATATTCATCACTTCTTATCTTTAAAAATCACTCACATCATCCAATAATATGGTGACAACTCATCTCATCTCATTAACATTTCATTTCCATTCATTTCCTCTAAGCCGTTTGGTTGGTTTCCTAAAAACCAAGAAAAGGAAATCGGTACAAGGAAATCAATAAAATAATATTTTTATCCATTTTCATCCCTAAAACTCACCCACAACATCCAATAAAATAATATTTTTATCCTCCAACTCATCTCATTTCATCTCATTTCTTACCTTTAAAAATGGCAAAATGACCAGATTGGTATAATTTCTTGAGGCTTGATGACAAGTTGGTATATTTTTTTAAAGTTTTGTCAGATTGGTATAAATTTTCAACTCCGGTGCCATATTGGCCTTAAGTTTGGCCGGAGTTACCGTTCCGGCCAGTGTTGATGGGATTTTTTGCATAAAACTCCCTTGTAAAAAACTTATCCTGCTCCTAACCCCCTCCCCCTCCTCCATATCCTCTTCCTCCTCCTCATCCTCTTCCTCATCCTCTTCCTCTCTCCTCTTCTTTGCTCTCTTCTTCATCTCAACCCAATCCCAGCCCTTATCGGAGTTAAGGGCTCAATTTCGGAGGATGACCGGGCAATCAGAGCCGTACGATCGATCCTTGATCTATTCGAGAGAGGCGTAAGCCCTGACCCAGCTGATCTTCGTCGGCTCCTCTCATACCTGGGCGTAACGGATTCGAGAGAGGCGTAAGCCCTGACCCAGCTGATCTTCGTCGGCTCCTCTCATACCTGGGCGTAACGGATGAGGCGACTGCAATGGGGCGATCACATTCATGGAAGAAGAAATCTTCGAGCATTGTGACGACGAGGACAACAATGGCGAAGCTAGCCTCTTGGGTAGCTTGCTTGGGTTGCTGATCTATTGTCGAGCTGTTCTGTTCAACGTCCACGCTAATGTCAACCCGAAAAAGCACGGTCGGAGAGAAGATTGTCAACTTAATGACTAACGCAGCTTAAATTTCCTTAACCCCGACAGCCTCTGGTGCCCGATCTCTCTTGATCTGATGCTCGATCCCGTGACAATTTCGACCGGGCAGACCTATGACCGAGAATCCATCCTTCGATGGTTCAAGGATGTGCTGGACACCTGTCCGGTAACAGGAGAGAAGCTGAAGCATACAAATAGCGTCCCCAATTCGAGCCTCCAAAAGCTCGTCAGAGACTTCTGCATCCTCAAGAAGATCTCCGTCGCCGAGCCAAGCAACAAGAAGAAGCACGATCTGGGGAAGACTCTGCACCCTCAGAGCTTAGCAGCGGTTGAAGCTACAAGAATGATTGTGGTATTCCTCGCTGGAAAATTATCCGCTGGCACTGGAGAAGAGAAGAACAGGGCTGCTTACGAGATCCGATTGCTTGTCAGGATAACTCGATGCCGTTGCAGACCCGGGG